CCTCACCCCAACACATCCTTAAATAGGAAAGGGAAAATCGAATATGTGAAAAATGGTATGAAATGCGTGTAAATTTGTAAGGTTACATGTTCTGATGATAGATAGCATTTTTGTGGTTCTTTCTCAGACGTGTATGTTCCTTGTGAGCTTTGCTTTTCCACATTTTTGTAAAAAGATAATTACAGCTCTGATACGTCTACTACTCATTTTAGATAAATGTCATAACCATTTTCTCTCTCAGGGAGATCTCTCCTCCATGGATACAACACCAGCCGGGACATCTTCAGATTTCAGTAATCGTGAAATATTTCCGGAGGAACTTGCAACTAGCAGAGTGGATTCTAAAGCTGCGCCCCTTTATCAGAGATTGCTATCAGCTCTAATATCGGAGGACTCAATGAGTGTAAATGAAGATTTACAATTTGATGGATTTGGAGCTGATGCTGAGTCAGAATTCAGTGTTTTGAATCAAATGGTAGAGTTCAATGGTTATAGGAGTGATAGACTGGAACTTGACGAGTTAGAAGATGATATGTCTGTTATTCCGTTAAAGGGTGTTAATAACTCAGCCCACCATGTCAATGGAAGATTTTCAGATCATTTATCCAGCGACTTCTCTGATGTTCAATATGAAACTTTGGGGATCGATGAGAAGATTTATTTGGAAGCTCAGTCTATTGGAATTTGCTTGGAACCCATGGTATATATTCACCAGAAGCTTAGTTACTACAGATATGCTTTTAGTGCGATTGGATTTGGACCTGTTTGCTATAGTTCCTAGCGGATTGATGTGTTATCGTTTTGTTTTCTTGCAGCCTAGTAATTCAAACGTGGAGGATGAAGGAATTGTTGACGACATCAAAACGTTAGAGGAAGCTATCTGTGAGGTGGTATGTTTTCTCACTTTTTCTTATTTATTTTTTTAAGTAATAATATAACGTTGCCAAATTATGATTTTCTTCTGTTTAGATTTATCATGTAGTACTTGTAATCTATCAAGATAGCTGACTTTGTGACGTTGCCTATCTTAAAATTAAAGGGTTCCAAGAAGAAAGAGATGTTGAATCGTCTCCTAAAGCCTGCCCTAGAAATGAAAGAGCTTCAGGAGAAGTATGAATATGTCTTTCTTCTGGTTTTCTTGCACGCTTTAATGATCTGGACTGTGATCTGACAGTTTTGTTCTGATATTTTCCTTTTCATAGGGAGTTTGATCGGCTTGGTTATGAAAAACTCATTGAAATGGCATATGAAAAGAGCAAGGTAGTTTCATTTTCCTAAATGGGTTCACTTTTCATCTTTGTGTCCCTGTTGCCACTTTTCTGATTTATTCCAAGTTTATGTTTTGATAAATTTTATATGGATTTAATTTTACAGGCAAGTCGGCGTCATCACTCCGCAAGTGGAAAGAGCTCTGCTAACAAGATATCAAAGCAGGCTGCATTTGCTTTCGTGAAAAGGACGCTTGAAAGATGTCGACAATTTGAAGAGACGGGCAAAAGCTGCTTTAGCGAGTCCACATTCAGGAATATCCTCATTTCGGGGTTGATACAGATTCAAGATACTCCCATGGACAAAGACGATATTCTGTCAGCTTTAAGTATGAAATCGTTTTTGCCTTACAGAACAGTGAACTATGTTTTTGAATCCATAAACTCTCTGTTAATTCGAATCTCTCTTTTTTTTCTCTGGCAGCGCCCATGGGATCACAATCGAGCCCATCACTGGCATTGCGAATGACGCAGAGCACAGAGAATCATGCCAATTCTTCTGAAAATGCTTTACGGGAAGGGAAAGATGAAATGATGTGGTCAAACAGAATGAAGAAGAGAGAGTTGCTGCTCGATGATGTGGGTGGGGCACCACTTTCGAGCAGTACAAAAGGAAAGAGAAGTGAGAGGGACAGAGATGGAAAAGGACAGGCTTCTTCATCAAGAGGTGGAGGAACTAACAAGATTGGTCGGCCTGCGCTTTCCAATGCAAAGGGTGAACGGAAATCAAAAACAAAACCGAGGCAGAAAACAACTCCGATGTTTTCTTCTTCTTCTGTCAGCACCTCAGAGCAAACCAGAGCACAATCATTGTCCAAACCAACTAACAGCAACAACAGCGAGTATAGTAACTTGGAGACCCTGGACGAGTCAGAGCCTCTTGACCTATCTCACCTGCAGATACCAGACGGTTTAGGTGGGCCAGATGATTTCGATACACAAGCAGGAGATCTAAGCTCATGGTTGAACATCGATGACGATGCATTACAAGATAATGACCTTGATCTCCTTGGACTTCAAATACCCATGGACGATCTTTCAGACTTAAACATGATGGTATAATCTCTCTGTCTTGTCTTTATTTCTGTATAGTCTCATGTGTTATACCATCATTAGCAAAGAAGAAAGATAAAGGAAAAAGGGAAAAGAAAATTTTGGTCCCCTGAAAGAATAACCAGTCACCAGAATCGGTTATTCGGGTTGGCTCAAGCACACTAGGCGATATAGATTCTTTT